TACCATTCTGAGATCTCGTAGCCAGGTATGATGAACTACATCCATCACCGTGTACCATCACATGATTTACTTGGGAGTTTGTCTGCATTCTGTGCATAAGCGTCTTGGGAATCTTTTCCTTTGTGGACTAACTTTTTCGGTATTGGATAGTGTATACGGCTGTTTCTTCCTGTCCACTGGACGTATGATCGTTGAAAAAGTATACAGATTATTTCCATATTTTGTATCGTCGTGTTTAGAAAGCCTGAATTGCGCACGGGAGGTTTACAACTTCACCATCGTCCATCGCGATCGATAGGACAAAGTGCCTTCGGTTCAATTCCGCTAAATCCAACCGATCTACCTCCTCTGCCCCATACCGACACCGAGTCGTCCTTTTTAGGAGCACGGGCTCAATTAGGAACAGTACCTTCACAGTACCAGCGTAAGTGGCTGAAACATATTTCCAAGTGAACATTTGTCATTGTCAGTCAGTGTATACATCATAAAGCTGATTTCTGTTTGTTATTCCTTGGTTCACAATAATCTAATACCGGATCGTCACTCCCATACTTCACAATGTTGTGCTCATTGGATCGGGCGGCCTCTACGAATGGACGATTTAAGTCTGCCCTGAGCTGCAATCTTTTTTAAACCATGCCCATGTCACGAGGAAACCGCCCATTATTGGGAGTTGGTGGGACTTTGACTTGGCGGCGTGTTGAAGACTCGAGTCTCCATTCCAGTCAATACACTTTACGTCATCTCTTGTCTTCGACAACTTTAACAGAATAAACGTTCGACTTCTTTCTACGGGTAGCTCTCTGAATGCAGGTTGTTCGCGCTTCATGCCATAGTGAAATCTGCAACAATGCAAACCCTCTTCTAATTGCGACACACCGAAGGAATTCTGTGACTTGCTCACTCTCCCAAACAAGTCCATAGCAGTAGAACTGCATTTCTTGCTCCTAGATAGCAGCAGAATACGTGAAGTATATAGAATAGAAGGCTCGAACTATGATAGACCGTCGCGGCTTGTATAGTGGGGTCGTATCATGGCGATGGGCGCTGTAATATGCTCCAAGTTTTCCTACAGTTTTTGAGAAGACACTGTGAGCACATGGGTGCCCATATATTCGCCATACACTACATTCTTGCGCCTAACAGGGTCTGTGGAATGTTTAGTCAAAAGCAGAAGGAGAACCGTACAAAGAGACAGATGGAACGTAGATTTGTTATATGTGTGTAGCCTCACGGTATAGAGATGTTGATACTGTATAAGACATGCTTCCTCGTAACAGCTGGGTACACATCGATCTATCATTGCACGAAGACACATATTTGGATCTTCAGACAGAAAAGATAAGAGTCGTACAGTATCTGTTTGTGAAGAGAAAAATTCTGTGAAAGTAGACGTGTAACTTGGAAATTGTGCAGGTGTCTGTTGTAAGCCGAAGCTCAAAGATTTGGTTAAAGATTGCATGTGTCAGACAAAAGCCTTTGAAATATCCCAACATGATTTGTGGTGCAGGTTAGGAGGGTGGAATACAAGAATTGTCAATTTGATGCTCTGGTAGTCAAACATTTGTAGGGACCAGGTAAGGATCTTAGACCTGGAGGTCGATCGAAAATTGCTCCAGTAACTTCAAGGCCGACGGGAACTACGTCGTGTGGGTACTGTGACTTACAACTGCGTCGTGTACTCTTTTGGCTGCTTGCCTGACTTTTATAACATGAGGCTTGGGTCACGCCATGTCACGAAGGGGAATCAACAAGGAGTTGAAACTTTTTCCTGTACTACTCTTCCACGACTTGCCAGTGAGCAACATCATGTGGAGTAACCTGAATGAGCCATGCTTTTATTCACGAATGTTCACAACCGTGCAGCAAACTGGGATTCCCGGTTGTGGGTGGTGCCAGCTTCGCCTTCACGCTTGAGAGCGCATGGCTGTACAAGAATCTTCTTGACCTCGTGTGGCTTCCTTCCTCTCACGGATCCACATTTTGGACATTGTAGCTCTTATCGTAATCTTGCCAAACCTCTACTCGAGGTTGCCAATGAATGCACCTGAGGATGTGAGAACTACTAAAATCTCTAAGACATCCACCAAACGTACTCATTGTCCACATTCCATAACTAACATCGTGTGACTTTTTGACCCCAAACCAAATCAAGTCCAAATACACTAAGTTATTGATAATTGACCTAAAATATTATTTAGACAACATATCAATTATTTAAAAAAAAATTAAAAAAAATCAAACCGGCCCGATAAGGTTGAAAGTTCCTAGAAAACCCATTTTTGCATGAACATTAACAATGTAGATCAAGAACTGAGAGTATAGTTATCATATGTGTATTTTGAAGAGTTATTTGCTTGATGGTACTAAGTCAAAACGCAAATTGTTTAATGTGACCTATCAAGTTTCAATATAGATCATGGGACCCATATACCGTCGGTGAGTTCTAATATGCTTTTTTGTATGGTATGTTCTTGTACGAATATGTTCAAATGTGTTTCTGCCATGGTTTCGATTGCGTGCCATTGGAGTTTTAACAAAACTGGATATGCTCTCGCCCGCAAGATTTTCCGATCCAACTCAATTTATCGAAGCTTCCGGACATTAGGGGTTGCACTCGCGTTTCAAAAACAATGTACACAAGCACACTGAATCAGAGAAATCCTTTTGGATCTATAAACAGTGATCTGAGATACAAAGCAGTGCCACTGGAGGTACGCCTACCACCTTCAATAATCGTGAGTTCTTTCGTCAAACCATCAAATTTCTGCTCCAACAAATCTACAGCACTAGACTGCCACAATGACAATTTCTGCGCACATGAATTGCTGCGGATAATTTCATCCTTGAAACAACGGTGGGTTTTTAAGGAATTGATTTGACGTGGAATGTTTGGTAGTATTGGGTAAATTGAAACTTGATGGGTTCCATCAAGCAGATATATCATATTTTGAACTATGTTTGACGTGCTGTTGTGTCTTTCATTTCTCTCTCCCCTGGTGCATTTGAGTGTATTGTGGTTGGTAGAAATCTATCATGAGAACATTATAATATTTAAAGAATTTTCCATCAATACTTTTTCAGACTTCTCATATAATACAATCATATTATGCTCTTATGATTTTATGTATAATTCTTTTCATTACATTTCATTTTTGTATAATTTATAATCTATTAAACAATCTTTATCTATGTTCTCTAATTATACAATGGATTGCAAATATATAAAGTGAACCAGGTGTACAGGGAACTAAGATTTAATTCAAAAAAACATGTTACTCTAACGAACGGAATTTGGATCAATTTCATATATAAGTGTCCCTGAGATCAAAATCTATCATTATATATTCAAAGTAAGCAAAAAAAATTACATAAAAGTAGAATCCGATGAAAATTTGTACTTTTAAATTTATGAAACACATCCTTTATTCAAGATAAATGCTAGAACTTGTATGATATCTTGATTCCACCCAAGTTCGTAATTGCACCTTCTCATACTTCCATCATTCTTATTCACAAAATCATCCATATAAATCGTTGACTATCTGAGAGTTAGAAGATATAATATTGTATGCCACATTAAAATCACAACAAAATAGAAAACCTTATCTTTACATAGAAACATTCACGATGTCGCCACTCCACTAGCCGCCCATACAAATAATCACTACCATAATTTTTAATGTGATGTTATTGGGGTCTGGCCCATAAAACCTGTTTTTCTCACTCATCCTTAGAATACTGGGGTTTCCTTCCTTTTGGTGATTATACTGCGTCCCCATCCTCCAGTCTGCTGAGGGAGTTCTCTGAGCTTTTCTTTCGGCCCCCTCATTGCCACACCGGTCAAAACTTGACCGGTGTGGCAATGTAGCGTTGCCCCCAGCAAGGGGATAGCAACAGGACGAAGATAAAAGTAAATTAAATCTCGGGAGCATGATGCCATGCAGCCCCTCTACGTGCTTGGCCTCCAACACTGCCCAAGCGCCACCACCCTGCTCTCGTCCACGGTCACAGCGATGACGCACCCTTCCGCTCTCAGATCCCAGAGAAGATCATCAAACGAGGACACAAGATCTTTGAGGACCAGCTCAAACAGGTGCGTACCGCCCGTCCCGTCCCGCCCCACCTCACCCCACGTACCATCCAGAAAAAAAATACATGCTTACTTTCATATAAGAAGCTGGTACTCGCCTTTCCAGTTGACGTGAATTGAATCTCAATTCCAATAGAACCAATTGGTTCTATTGGAATGGTTCACTTTACGATCTAACCTCACGCAACAAAACAATACGGTCTATGGTGTAATATGAGATCTCCTCTAGAACCCTACGTACCATCCAGAGAAAAAAAGAACATGCTTACTTTCTTATAAGAAGCTGGTACTGGCCTTTCCAGTTGACGTGAATTAAATCTGAATTTCAATAGAACTCAATGGTTTCACTTTACGATCAAACCTCACGCAACCAAAAAATACGGTCTATGATGTAATATGACATCTCGTCTAGAACCCTCCCTGATATCAGCGCATCCACCGAACCTCTTTTTGTGGCTCGATTTGCTTTCTCTGAAAAGAGCCCCAGAGTTGACCAACCATCAATTGAATGCATCATTGTACGCCTTCTCTCCGCAGCTGAAGTCGGTCCGTCTACTGCTGTCTCTTAGCTCTATCCGACACGACGGCTGCTGATCTGCTGATCTGCGGCTGTTTCGCGAAGTTCGACAAGAATTTGTGCAATGGCCGTGCTTGCGGAGATCCGGTCGAAATGATGCTCCCGGTCATGCCGGTCATGCTCCTGAAGGGCAGGCGTGGGCGCAAAGCGAAGGAAAGAGGGCCTTTATCCGGAATGGCTCTGGGCCCCAGGGCCGGCCTGCTTTGTACTCGAGGTTGACTCCTTTTTGGGTTCGAACCCCGGGTGTATGTAACCGCGGTTACATGTGAACAGGTCGTGCCCGTGCGGTCGGCTGGTGCTCTGAAAGCAAGCAAAACGCGGACAAGAAGAAGTGTACTGTACTCGCAGTTCGTGGCCCTCTGTCCTGCGCGCTGCTCCCCGGGAGAGATGCATAAGAGCAACCCCGAGCACTCAATTCCTCATCATAAATCTGCACAATTCCTGGAGTCCGCACGCACGCACGCACGCACGCACGCCCATCGACCCAAATTTCCAACCTTTGTTGTTTGATCCGTCGCTGGCCGGGCGCAATTTCTTACTTGCCGAGTGCACTATCCGGTGACAGCTTGGAACTGCGAGAACTCAATTCCAAGGCACCGTCCGACGTAGAGGCGAGGAGCTAGTAGCAGCCTGATAGAGACTCTCGAAGTTCCGTCAAGATGAATGAGGTTAGCCTTCCTCCTCCCCCATCTCACTTGGTTCGCTTAGTGTGTCTAATTCTCGTGACGTGAGACGAAATTTGGATGTGCGGAACATCTTTCCTACTCGAAATTCAGTTCCTGTTGCAGGAGATCAATTTGTTGTTTCTGCTGTTAATCTTACAATTGTTGGATGATGTTCTCCCGGATGCAGCTATTTTATGGTGCGGATGAGCCAGGATTCATGGTGACCACGAGCGCTCAGCAGCTCATTCGGGATCCGAAACTTTTTGTCGATTCAACCTTCGTGCAGCCAGCCAAACAACCGGCGGAGCAAAAGAAACCGGAGGACAAGCATAAGGTGAAAATGAGAAGTTTTTCCCAAGTGACCTTCTCTCTCTGATTTTCCTTCTCAATTCAGTCCTCAGCCGTCCGTGCTGTTTTGGAAGAGATCCTTGATGTAGTCGATTCGAAGGGGACTTCGTTGTGACAGTTAGTTGTAGTTCAGTGCAGAATTGGGAGTGCAGAGTTGTCGTGGTCACCCGGGGGCCGGCGTATGCCTCTGCGTGCGGCCCGATGGATCTTTACCATCAGTATTAACATTCGCTGGTGTTCGTCGTTCCGTCTGGATGTTAGTGCGAGGATTAAGAGCGTCAATTTGACATAACCTTGCTCGCTGGATATGTGCAGCCGATTGTGATGAACGTGTCCATTTGTTGCTCGTCGTGTGTGGATCTCCTCGAGCCCGAGCTTCTTGCCGTCAAAGGTTCGTGCGCATCATCCGGCTAAGGAGTAGGAACTAGCAGTATTCTTCAGGACGCTTGGTCTCTTCACAAGAAATGAACTTCTTTTCGGAATCTCTTGTTCCTTCCCTACTGCCTTGATCTGCGACGAATCAAATGTGAGGTCAGTCGATTATCCCACTGCGTGCTGATCCCAATTTCATTCGAATTTGTTGTGTATCAGGGGTGAAGACCGTCGATTGCGAGGTATACAAGAAGAAGGTGACTGTCACCGGGACTGCCGCTCTTTCGGACGTGATCTCTGCGACGCGCAGGCACTTCAAGCATGCCCAAATCGCTTCATGAGTGCCTCTGCGCAGCCGGTATGAGCTCAAAATTGGAAAGATGTTCATCGCTCGCTCAATTCGAAGCGCAAATTGTGATGTTTTGTCGGCGTCCGTCTGGATGTGCCAATTGGACGACGGAGAAATACGTTGGGCAGCTTCTGTCAAATTCAAAGACTAACGTTTTCCCACAACGTTTCTGTTTGGCAGAAGTTGAACGTTAGAGCGTAGAGCACCGAAGAGGCTTGAAGGGATCGGCTCTGCGATGCCATCGAGCACCGACGACGAATCGAATCGCAGGCCGTGATAATTGTACATAAATTCAGTGAGGATTTGGACATTGGTGTCGAGTCCGAGGATGTTGTCATCAAATCGTCGTGCTGCGGATCGAGGCTGCGGCCACGCTTTAAGGAATCCGCTTGGCACTTTAAAATAGGCATTCGGCGAGTTTCAAGGTTCTGATAGAGAGCTTTTCCGGCTTTTGATTTACGGTAGTGGTTTATAATCTCCGACGCTTGTGAAATATTGGAAACGAATAGCTCATAAACCTTCAAAGCTGCAGACTCACGTCCGAGCTGAAAGGCTCTGCGACCTCGAATCGCTGCAGGCTTCATGTAGACACACACACCCCTACTCTGTACGGTTTTCTTTGTCCATCGGGGTCACTAGCGATTGAGACTGGAGTGCGTGGTATCGACCTGCCACGTGCTTGGTTCTGGAATGTTTCGGTGACGCTGTAAATTCTTGCGCAACGTACTGCATCGTTGGGCATCCCCATAAGAAATCAATTTTTTAATCTCATCACAGGCTCGCTTGCGGTGTCCAATTTTGCGCTACACTCAATGATAAGTCTTTGTCACCATGCAGGTCCCCGGGATCTTAGTGTAGGTGGGACGAGCCAGGTCATTGCAACCGAATGGCAGGTTTGGTAAATGAAATGAAGTTTCAACTCGCTCTACATTGCAATCGATTACAAACCGCTCGACGCTTTGAGCAGAATGTGGATGAAAGCAGATTGACATTTGACGACATCGACGGCAGTACACGGCAAAGGCCAACCCATGCCTAGAGACACTACTAATCCCCTTCCCTTCATAACATGCTATATCTCGCAGGTCGTCTCTTATTCCTACTGCAAACAAACAATGTTCATAATGGTGACATAGGGCCGAGCAAGTATCCCCTATCGAAAAAAAAACATTTGCCCTAGATTCAGGCTATGACCAAAGCATTACGTAGTTACATTTTCTGTTATATATCTCCTCATTTCTGTCATATCAGACATATATATATTCAGACTATGTATATAGTGTAAATTACTATAAATGTACCATATTTCATTTTCTGAGTTCTTAATACATCCAAAAATATATGTCGTGCTCATGACCATAGACTATAAAGGAGAAAAAACCAAGCCCAGATCCGTACACTAAGTACTCTAGACCGTAGTTGCACGTTGTAATGTGCATGCATGTTTTCATCTTCAATTTATGTTCCAAAAGCATTATTGTGAAGTCTAGGTAATGCTTTGAGAGTCAGTACATGAGTAATCCACTCTAACTAGGCCTGCTGTGCATACGGAAAAATAGTTACATAAGGATGCTGCTAAAATTTAAGTGACAAGGGGCGAGAATATTCGCTTCCACCGAGGAGAGAGAAACATTCAATGTAACTGGAGTGTTGTGACTTAGACTTGGATACATGGGTATTTCTTATGATCGTCAGTTTACCTCTATGCCCGAAACCGAGGTGGTACAAGAGGGCCCAATACTTACTAAAGCATCAAAGCCAGTAACAGGGAGGCCAAAACAGGAGCTCAATCTTCTTCTGCACTGCTGCGATCTTAAAGCTTATGGATGCATATAGATACCACCTGGCACAGACAGTACAAAAAACATCGTTTTGTCCGATATACATGCGACCAGATCGATGCACACGAAATTCCAGCCTTCGCGCACCTCGCTAGACTCGGCTAGGATCCAAAAGCTTGGCAATATACCCTGCCTGTATGCATTGCCAATAGCTGTACGGTCCGGTGGTAACATTTCAGGACAGGGATTTTCGAGCATTGAAAGATTGTGGAAGGAACGCCGAAAATTTTGCGTCTCGAATTTCCAAAAACGTTCCGAGCAGGATTCGGATCAGGTTAAGGACAATGATGACCCCGAAACCTCGTTGCAGTTCCGGTGCCAAGTGGATCCACTTGGCTCCGAGACTGTTGTTCCAACGGAGTCGATCCAGATACTTAATTTCATCTAAAAATTTATCGATATTTTATTTTCGTACATTTGGGTACATCTGTAAATAAGTGTATAATCTAAGAAAAACGAATCTGGTGGTTAGGTGCCATTGCCTTTGATTCATGGGTCTTGAGTTCAAACCAACATATAAATGACGTTCATCATCATCAAGGTACTCCAGCACAATGGCTGATACTACGAGTGTGGTTTGCAAAGTTGTTTGAATTTGGTATTGTTAGAAATAATTTCTGCTACAGATTTTATCAATGTCAAATTAGTATCAACTAGTTAGAAAACTTACACATTTTGGGATGAAAAGATAATTTTAAGCCAATATCTAAACTTAGATATGAGAAATACTTAGTCACAAAATATTCTCAACCTCACAACCAAAGACAATGTACACCTTTATATAACTCACTCGATATCAATCTAATCAAGATAAATTGGCTAATGAATGAGACTAATGCCATTCATGTTCTTTAAGCATGTAACTTAGGTTTGTTTCATTCCTCCCTAAACTAGTCTCAGAACCTAGTCGAAAGAAAACAAAAATAGACTGACCAAATGATTTCAGTCACCCTGATCAGAGCAAAATTTCCCTCTTCATTGTTCTTCTCATCTTCTTGCGACAATCTATGGCTTTATGCTAAATGATGTGTTCATATATTTCTGGCATTTTTTAATGCCAACAGGTTACTCAAAGTCGTCGAGTCTACAGAGAAGATAAGCCATGACACAGGGTGAACTCTCTCCCATACCGTGGTGACAAAAGCAGAAGCTGTGTTGACGAAATGTGTCATTTGACTCGCTCGTGAGCCCCGGGAACTTCGCGAGCCGATGTATGATTGAAATACTCTTTGATCGAGCCATTACGACAGGCGGAAGCGCCTCCAATCATAGAATGACAATCACGACGAAATGCATCTTCAGCGTTGCCTTTGAAGGTCGCACGAAAGGGTCCACTTGAGAGCGCAGTGACTTCCGCAAACTTCTTTCGCGCTGGGTTCTCTACACTGCTGCTGGTGGAGTCCATTCAGATGGAGCTGCTTTCGAAATCCAGGACATTCGGAGAACAAACGTGTAGATTTAGGAGCCGAAGTTTTCCACGTCCAGCCCCACCATCGATCGAGCACAGCTTTTTGTTGCTTTGCTCCGTTTGTTGTGCGGGCCCTGGGCGAGTAAAGGCAACCGCGGGGAGGACTTGCAATCTTTCTCCGTTGAATGCTGTGGCCACCTCGCCGGGAGGACTTGCGGTCTTTCTGCGTTGAATATTGTGGCCAGATTCAAGAATGTTGTGGCCAGTTATACCTTGAAGAGATGCCTTCCTTACGCGTCTGAAGAAGACATAGCTAGGTCGGAAGTGGGTAGAAGGACATAAGACATGAAGCTTGACACCATAAGTCTTCACTCGTCATGCGCACTTTTAGCGGAAGGCCTGCTTTATGGGTAAATGTGAGTGAATGTTTGTCGCACTTTGTTTTGTTCACTTTAGAGTGAATTGTCGGTACCTTTCGGCTAAATTTGCAAGAAATCTTGGTCCGAGCATTGCATCTGCCTTTCGAGAGCAATGGATATGCCGTGGATGCCTTTCACCTCTCACCTTCTGCTCGTGGGAAAATTTTCAATATTTCCAACTCCGCATAAAACGTATAGCTTCTACGCGGCGCGAGTCAGTTCTAAGCATCAGACCAGACGACAGAATCCGCCTTTTTTATGTCACCTGAAAGACTGCACTCCGTAGTTCATCATCTAACGCATGTCTCTGCAGCCATTTCTTAGCCATATTTCCAGTGAAAATATGGCAAAGAAATTATGAAAATATGAATTTTTTTCACTCACAGGACAAATCTTGTCAAAAGATCCCCGGCTCTTGTTCTGCACTCACTGACCGATGGAGGAGGCCACACGGGGATTCAATCCGACAGACTAGTGAAACCATAGCACTACAGTAGAACCTTCCCACACCTAGATTCGCTTGCAGGGCTATGGAGGCAAGAGTGGAGTAATGGAGCTGCAGTAATGGAGCTTCCTCAGCAAGCTGGATCGAGGAGGTGTATCGACGAAGTTTCTCATTAAGAGACTTTCGCAGGGAGTCAAAGGGGCACAAGAGATTGGTACCTCAACTTTAGATCCTAAACCCTTCCCCAACAAGCTGGAGCAACAAAGCGTGGCCCAGAAGTTTCCCACGGAGAAAAGGGGACGCGGGAATGTTTTGCGTGACGACTACGCCTCGGCACCGTGGTGGGTCCATCTCGAACTGGGTGAGAGGGCATATGCCTGCAGAGAATGGGCCTTACGCGGCAGGCACGAATCATGTCCAGGTCTTGGTCGTCAACCTACGTGGAAACTGTCCTACTCGGTCAATCGCCGAGACCTCCGGTTTCCCACGTATCATTGAGCGCGAGGTTGGCGACGGAAGGCAGTTCGGCGTAGTCTCCGTTCACTCGAACATACCCGGGACCCTTACATAGATCCAATTCTTGAACCGCCGTCCACCTGTGAGGTGGATGTGGTACCAGCTTGTCTACCATGAACACCTGGCCCCGACCTCGGCACGTCGTCAAACCGGGTTAACCGCCGAAACGGTGGCGGTCTTTCTGAATCGTACATCCACCCGAGGTGGCAGTGCAATGGAAGTAACAGTGCATGCTCTTGCGCCACGTGGCTCTATGTCCACATATGGTAACATATATCCACATCTTAACCAAGTCAACGCCGGAGGCGGCCGGCCTCGGCTACGGAAACTGAGAACCTGGACAGTCATCAGATATTTCTGTCCCCTCTTGGACATGGTCGGTCCCCTTGACTCGCGGTTCCCGGAATGTTGTCAGTCGTTACTGTACTGCAAAGCAATTCGAATGAGGATAATAATTTGTACACACGCGGATGCCGAAACTGAAGGGAACATATAAAAGCCTCCCTTTGCTGCGACGATAGTCACAGAGCTCTTTCCTTTCACCGCAGTTTGCTCCCACTGCCTGCACGCCTCTCTACTCAAGTCTTCGAGTTCCATCTCTCCTGCAGCACGTCAAGCCTCTGTACTCAGTTCTGTTTGCACTTGACATCGACTGCAGGTTGGATTTGGCTTCAGAGCGATCGTGCGATCTCACTTGGCTGTACTTTTCTCTTCTGTTCCACGAATTCTGTAAATCCTTCGGACTTCTGTTCGCCATTCGCCGTCGCGTACTGTGATTCTGTTTCCGCGAAGATGATGTCCATGCAGGATATGTTTTACTCAAACGCGGAGCCTGTATGGATTGTGAAACCCGAGGAGAAGAAGAAGGACGGGGCCAAGAAGGAGGAGAAGCCGGTGGAGAAACAAGAGTTTTCAATTCTCAGCATTATACCGAATTATCCTTACTACTACCCTGCTTACGTTCCTGAACCTTCTCCTAAAGCTGAGCCTCAGAAGAAGAAGGAGACGACGACGGCACTGCATATATCAATCTGTTGCAGTGAGTGCGTGGACACTATCACGTACGCTCTCAAGAAGCTGCCAGGAGTTAAAGAGGTAGATTGCGACATTCTGAAGGAGAAAGTCGTCGTCACGTACACTACAACGCCTCTCGGGGACATCCTTTCAGAAAGCACTCGAGCGTTCAAACATGCAAGGCTGTGGAGAGCTGATGATTAGGAACTTCAAATCTTCCTGGAATTTTACTCTGCAAATGTTTGATAGCATCAAGTTCTGATCCAGCTTCGTAATCGACACCTGAGTCTACTGCAATCGATCTGCTTCACAATCGTCAATGCCACGAAGAGACCATTTACGAGGATTTGAGGGCTCTCTGCAATCCGTTGATCTCATCAATAGGCGATCGACTGGAGATCGATGCTCGTGATGAACTACTACGGCTACTGCATTAGATTTGCTTCATCGTCGTCCACGCCACAGAGGGACATTTATGCGATTGGCTTTGTGTGTGAACAATCTACGATTTACGTTACGATTTACGCAGTTAATAATTGCTCCAGCAGAATGACAAGCTGTCATCAGGACTCGAAGGCGAACTCTGGCTCTGTTCTGCCTTCTTCGATGTATCCTGTACGGATATCTGTGCGAAGTCCGGAGGACATAGATTTCCAGAAAAGGAGTCTAATCAGATGCGTGGATTCATCTAGTTCGACTCCCATCTGATTCTACACGCGACGCATCGAGCATATGAAGGATTGAGTGGATGGTTTGTACCGCGGATTGAAAATCAGGATAATCATCTGTAGAAAGTTGGCCGCATCTCTCTCTGTGTAGTGTGTTGCAGCCCAAATTGTATTTGAAGATCTGGAACACCTTGTACATAGCGAAAACCACGGGAGACCTTATCTATTGATTTGTACAGGCATAAAATCTACATAGATTGCTCTATGTAGATTAATTTTTTTGTACAGTGTGAGGAGATAGCCTCATATCATATATTCCCATCATTCTTAGCCTCCGCATCAAATGGCTTTTTCCTGTGCTTCCAATATGTTCATATATGAAATTGTCAATCTTCTCTTCTGATTTCTTCGTATGAAAGAATGAACTGCTGGAAGCAGTATTGTAGTAATACTGATTTATTGCGTAAGACAACATATCCAAATCCACAGAATCCAAAACTCATATTTCACAATCTTTTTCCTTACCCACTTTAAAATAAAATTTGGAATGTTGGAACAAATCATAACATATCATTATCATCTGATTCTTTCATTAAAAAATGAGCAGATAATGCAATTTCAGCAGTGTTCAGCACTAACCTAAACCCATTTATTGCAGTCGTATTCATTTGAAGACAACACAACGACCAGAAACCGATCTGTCATAATTCATACACTCCGTAAGAAACCTCCCCTTAGTCTGCAGTAATCAACTTTCTGGGTACCATAATCAGGGCAAGTGAAGAACATTGTTCGATTCTCCGAGAACAAATTCGTGACCATAATCTGAGAGAATCTGTGTATAATGACCTAAATGCCATAAAAGTCTCGATGGAACTTGAAAAGTTTTGGTTTATCCCAATGTATGTTAAAGCATCATGATGAAACGAAACATAGCACGATATAAAAGTTCAAATATATCTGTAACTGAATTTCATCAGAGAAGCTCAACTGAGACGCTCACTTCATCCTTCAAATTAAAATTGGAAGTCACTCAAGTATGTTGATACGTTGGATACTAGACGTGTAATGTCAAGTCATCTCAATATCTACGCTGGCGAGTACGCCCAGAAGTCTTACTCTCTACTACTGCAGAACTCATTGACTACAGCCTGGAGGACTCAAATTCCAATATGAGTCGTTAAAATCGAAATTCAGTAGATTACTGGGATCTCGTTCTACTCTGTACACTCTAACTCTTGCAATTCCATGCCAATAAGAAATTAACCCTAGAGTATAACTCTATATTCGTATAAAAGATTTGAGGAGTTACAAAGCTCAATTATTGCAGAGAGCTTTTCTCGCGTAAGTCTGTAGGAAGCTCCTTCCCCGAAATCTATGCAACTAATCATTAGCTCGTTTCGAAGGAGAGAAAGGTGAGTGAACTGGGGCTCTGTTCTACAACCTACAATAATAGTGCCGTGTGATGACTTCACACAGCACTATATATTCACCATCTTCATCATGCTGTTACCAATCATATCTCTATACTAGAAGGATTTGTTGAAAAGAAACGAAAACTAGTGATACAAATTTAATGTCAAACTGAAGAAATGACTGTTGATGTACTAACAAAGCACTCTCCACAATGAAAATCATGGGAAATGTGTAAGAAAGATCATTGTGTTTTCCACTTTTCAGCAAGTGAGTGAGTTAAGAGACGAATAATAGTAGTGATGAAGTAAAATTTTATCATCCGGCAACACTGGACTGTAAAAGAGGATAAATTACAATTTTTTTTAAAAGTCTTCACAACAGACACCGAAGACTTTGAAGTCAACTCAGGTGAAGCACAGATCCATTACTTGCAAGGCTTCCCCACTTAGCTACTGGGCCATACGGATTTGACACATGATACTGACTACATCAAGATACCATATCCCCTAAACACTCCATACTGTAGTGTCCATGAATTGACAGTATCATCGGGCATGTTCTAGAGAATAGAAAATTCTCTAAAACATTTAGTTGTTTGTATTGTTTCGTGTTGTGACCATGAAATCTTCTCCCAGCTTGGAAGACCCCACACATCAAATAATACTCGCGCACAATTGGAGGTTTAGAAGTACTCCTAATTTCGCTCAAAAGAGAAAAGGCAGAGAGAGGTCGCAGGAGACTGATCACGTTGGATAATCGCTGGCCAGCATTCAAGCATGATGTACCTTACCAGCGCAGAGGGGCTCGTGATCGCTATATTGTGATAATGTGTATAGGATCGAGAAAGAGCTATTGAGATAAAACAAGTAGTTTATATACATGGCCATGGTGGCGGTATTGTTTGTGTCGCCAACAACGACAACAACAATAGAAAGTCACGGCCACCAGTACGGCGGTATTGTTCTGGTTGGTGATGGCACTGCTCCATTTTCTCACCATGGAGTTGTTTCGGTTAATGGATTGATTGTTTTTGAATCATTGTCTAATGTTGGTGCACCGGTACTCTCCTAGTGTGACGAGGAGGTTGCGACAGGAAGACTTTGAATTGGATGTGTATCACTTTGGAGAGAGTGTGGAGAGCGATTGGCATTAAGTACGCCCTGCAGGTTCGATATTTTCTTCTTTAGATATGATCTCTCCTCTTTGTCTTATTGTTTCACACCTTGGATTCTATCTCCGCTTGTGTATATTGATCGATTGAAAATTGCAACTAAGTCAAAATCCTCTACAATTTGCGGTTGTTCGGGAAAGAGATGTACAGTTGATTCCAGGGTTTGGAAAACAACACGTTTACGCTATAAAGAGGTGTAGAGTCACGAATGTCTATTATAATTGAATTGAGTGCAATCTATAGGTTCATAGGTTTAAGAGGGCGTAGTTTAAATCTTTTCAGAGTCTAGAAGATGCGCTAAGGTACTTATCAAGTGAGGGTTTCTACTCTGGATTTTTAGAAAGGTGAGGGAGTCGAGATTGAGGCTGATTCTTTGTGACCCTGCCCAATGATTGTGTTAAGATGTCCGCGGATTGATGGGCCCTGCTAATAAACTGAAGTTGGATTTCCCACTCTAAGACGAGGTCTATTCCACAATGATGATGGATTTCTATGTGCTTCGATTAGGCACAAAACACAAAATTAACTAACTTTTGTACTCTGATTATCGCAATGTATGGATAGTGTAAGTTCTAACGCATTTCTAATGTTACTATTGAATTGGTAAATAAAGTTGAGTTTTGTAGCTACAACGTGAAGTTTGCAGAGAAGTCGAGATAGCCAAACATCTTTTTGGACTCCATTACTCAATGCCTTATACTCAGACTCAGTAGACAATCTGGAAATAGTAATTTGGCGCTTGCTATTTTTATTGAGCCTCCAACCGCCTGAAAAAGATAAGCTCTAATACTTTTTGTTATCGAAACAGGATTTCCAATCCGCGTCTACAAATCCTTGCAGTTGGAATGGTTGTCGTGTTGGTATAGTATTCCAAAGTCCGGTGTAGATTTTAAGTACCTAAGTATGTGGAGAGCAGAGTCTAGGTGAGACTGTTGAGGTTTTGACATGTATGAGGCTATGCAAATCATTGCGTAAGTGATGTTGAGTCTTAAGATGGTTAGAAAAATCAATTTTACTACTAACTGTGAATAATATGTGGAATCTATTGAGGGTTTTCTTGTCTTTGCTACGAGAGTTTGGCTGGCTTGAAATGGAACTTTTGCAAGCTGTTGTCCTTGTGGTAAGAGTCTGCTTCTATTGAAGCTGCATAGTCTCTTTGTTGGAGAAAGATCCCGTGAGGTAAATACTTGAAGATAACTCTAAGATACTTTGTGAATTTTCCTAAATCTGTCATGTACCGAAGATAGATTTTTATCCATGTGATAAGTTTTGAACAACTTCATGTGATTAAAAGATCATCAACGTACAACATTACTAAGAAAATGTTGTTGTTTTTGTGTGAAGAAATAAAGGTTAGAATCAAAGGAACTACAGCTAAGGTCTATGTCGCGTAGAGATGAATCACACCTCTCATATCAAGCTCGTGGTGATTGTTTGAATCCATATAGGAATCTTAGTAGGTGACAGAATTTTTTCTCTTGGCCGGGTATCTTAAAACTTGGAGTTTGACACATATAGATCCTAAACTTCAAAATTCCATTCAGGATTTCATTTCACATGGATGTGCGATATGCACATCCATGTGATGAATTTTCCATTTGTTTGTGGCATTTAGGGCTACGGCGGTACTAATCGTAATCCATTTTATGACGGGGAAAAATGTCTTTGAATAGTTTAAGCCGAGACTTTGCTCAAAACCCCTTGCCATTAATCTAGCTTTCTTGATGGAAAGTGAGGTATTTGTCGCTAGTTTGGTTCGGTAAACCCAACGACATGTTATAGTTTTGATGCCTAGGAGGTAAATCTTTGAGAACCCACGTTTCATCATTCTTGTAAATGCTTTCCGTCTTTGAATTCATTGGCCCCTGCTAGCCTTTGACTCTAATTGCTTGTTCAAAGGTAAGAACTGATTATAAATTTTTGGATTGAGTGTCTATAGAGTTGACAACTACGAATGCAAGGACAGGACAACAATCTGATGAATCAGAACTAAGATAAATGTAATAGTCTCCTAGCTTAATGCTAAGTGCACGAGATCTTGAGTTTCTGCAAAGGGGCTCAGGATCGGGATTAGGAGACGCTGGATTTAACATAGGTTGATCTATTTGTGTAGGTTGGCAGGTTGGCAGATGGGGAGCGTTGAAGAGATTACCTTGGATGGAAGATGGTTATAGCTGTGGTTATCAAGGTAAGCTTGATGTATTTCCTGGAATGATAGTCAATTCAGATGGTTCAGAGTCTTGTGATGGCTGTGAGACATTTGGCTCGGGTCCTATTAGGTCGAGGAGGTCTATGTAGGTAGCAGATGAAGAGTTAAGGTTGAATTGGTTTTTGTGAAAGACTACGTCTCGACTGATCACTATTTTACGGGACAATGTATTTCAAGATCGATAAGCTTTTGAGTTTTTGTCATACACTAGAAATATAGGAGGAATTGCTTTCTAATTTGGTTCTCTTTTCTTGCGAAACCTGATAGAAATCTATGCAACCAATAACTCGGAGATGAGAAAGATTAGACCTTTGACTTGAAAATGCTTCTTCGGGTGTTTGCAAGTTCAGGGCAGGGTAGGGCAGTCGATCTGGATATAGTTCACCGCCTTTGCCACTTCGTCCCACAAGAAACGAAGTATGCGTATTCCAGAAGCTACGCTGCAGATGTCTTCTAGGAGTGGTCTATTTTTTCTTTCACTGACGCCGTTTTGTTGAGGAGCATATCCGGAGGTAAGCTGATGGTATGATGTAGAATTGTTGGAATTTGATAGACATGTACTCCCCCTCCCTATCAGTCCGTAGGGTAGCAATCTTCTGCATAGGTGTTTCGACTAGAGATTTGATCTCTCTAAACTATGAGAAAGTCTATGATTTCTCTGTCAAGGAATAAAGCCAGTAGTACGGATGCTAGACGTGAAAGACTTAGAGTTTATAAAGCAAAGCTGTGTTTCCTGTCACATGCGAACTGGCGCGTAAATCGAGAAACCATGGCTCTTACTTGGTTGTGAATTCGACATACATGCGATGAGAGTTGCTTCTGTATCATCCTCTTCAAATTTGTCATCAGGTGAATCGTCAACGGTTGAAAACGAGCTTGTTTTGCTAGTCTTCATCTTAGACAGGTGGAACTAGACGTCTCTAATTTTTTGTTCAACTTTTGTAATTTCACAATCAGCTTCAGTGTGATTTGTCTTACCACATCGTCTACAGGTTTGATGAGGTTGAAAAGTGCGTCCACGACTACGATTGCTTCTCCCAAATTGTCCTCCTGGACCGATCTGAGATTAGTTGTCTTGGCCACCACGGAATGTGTGAGTATGCTGAGAGCTTCTGATAATCTGAAAGTAAAAAACATCGTCCTTGCTGGTTGTCGGAGTGTCGAGAGCTCTCTTCATGTAGAAGAAGTCCTTGTAATTCGGAAAAAATGGGACTTGGATCCCTGCTTTTGTGAATGACCTTGAAAGTTGTCCAGCTTCTAGGCATACTAGCTAGTACTTGGTCTACAATGTCTTCATCTTGTAGACCCAAGGTTAGCTAGTTGTGTGATGAGAGAATTGATTTCTTGTAGCTGAAAATCTATAGTTTTTTCCTCACTCATTCTTAATTAATAGAATTTATCTTTTAGAACTAGTGCTACTGCGTCCATGTTGAAGGGAAACAAAATAGCTCAAAAGGATATGTTATAACCATGCTCAAGTTTATTATATCGTCTAGTCTTTTTTTGCATTTGACTTCAATTCCATGGCAGAAGGGCATGAACGAGGCCAAGCCTTTCATTTCACTCTTTTTTCTTTGGACTCTCATCAACAAAGTAACGAGTGAATTCCAAATGGAAAGCTCATATCTCCACGGCGAATCCTCTCTTCAGAATCAAAGAAGGTCGAGTGACAACAAACCCAAACCTCCGTATATCTTGATTGTGTTTTCACGAATTGCTGTTGTGCTGCTGAATTCATGTTGTTGCTCAAGTGAGGACTTCAACGACAGTCTTCTTTTGGCATCCTGAGGAACGGGAATGCCTTTTTCCATTCAGCGGACTCTTTCGTACTCTATCCAATGTTGTCCTACAAGTTTGTCCTAGTGGGTTCATTCCATTCCGAGGGAGCTTTGTAAGTTGTCCAATCATAGCTCCGTACAAGCTTCTGGTCCAGGTCTGACTTCTTGGATTGAGGTGAGTATTCTTGAACTTCCATATCCATCCTTTCCCTTTCTCTCCTATCCAATAGGTGCATATTTCCCATGTAAATCTCAAAGGCTAAAGCATGGCCACTATTTTATGTGGTGTAACATCACAATATAAAAACTACAACAACATGGACGTGGAAGCTTGGTTTTGAACGTCCGCAATATAATGCTAATTCGCTCGCATCAATAGGTAGGTGAATGAGGTGTGATTAGTTAAAGTTCTGTGATACACTTGGATGAGCGATTATTAGCCCAAAGTGAGTGATAACTAACCGCACCCAAAGAACAACTTCTAAATGTAGTTTGGGCTCCAATATTCTTTCTTACAAACTCTCTAACTCGAAAGTCATTGTATCTGGCAATTGAACAATTGATAATTGACTAGACTTCATGTACGCCTACGTCAGAATATCTTTGTGCTTTCAGGAAATTTTGGTTTTTTCTCACTCTTATATCTCTTTTAAAACTTATTCAAGCATGCATTTTATATCACAATATGTTATGCAACAAATGAATACAAAATTGTCAAAACTTGACCAAAATTTGTAATTTATTTTGATTCTTCACAAATTTCAAACCATTATCCACTACCATCCAAGTAGCTATTGCAAATGATGTCAATATGTAAAAATTATTATAAATAGTCCTAAACAATTACCAGAATACTAGAACTCTAGTATCCATTTTTTTAGCTACTATATTAACTTCAAATTTATACTAATGGTTTAAATAATAACTTTGATTATAAAATGACATAGTTATGTCATAGGATTTTTTAAATATATTGGAAAATATTTCTCTTTTTTTTTCTTGATCACCAAATTGTACCTATAATCTATTTTGTTAAATAAAATCTTCAATACATTTTTTACATCTTGTTGAATATATTCCAACAATATTTACATATATGCAAGTGATCTTTAATACAATTTTCAAACTTCACTTAATTTTATGAATTTAATTGAGACTTTAATATAATCTAAAATGGTTTAAATTTTTAATATAATAATTATGATATTTTAGAAATTGTAATACATTTTAATATCTAAACTTATATCGAAATTAATTTCAATTTACATAAATTAAAAAATTAAATTTAAAAAATATTGTAAACTTTTTCATTAAGATGTAATCTTGATAACAAATAATAATAAAAAACAGAAAAAAAATTTTAAAATAATAATAATAATTTAAATTTTTCTTTACTTTTAATTTACAATAATCTTATGAATTGATTTTGATTTAATTTTATGAACATAGATGAAAAATAATAATAATCTTGTAGATTTTAAATTTTAAATTATGTTTTAATTTTTTTTTATTTGCTATAATTTGATATTAAAAAATTATTAGATGGTTATGCAATCTATTATTATACAATACTCATAAAATCTTAAATGATCTTAGTTATTCTTGAGTTTTGGCTTAAAAAAATTATCATGATCTGATACATTTCCGTCTTTAACAAGATCATTTGTTTTGTTAAACAAGATTATTATGTTTTCTCTTATTAAAAACTGTGCATGATCGCGCTACACTCGCTTAAGCACGGTCTTGAATGGGAGAAAATCTTCTTGAATTAGTCAGCGTTATGCGTGAATAAATATCATGTGCAATAATCGTCAAGTCATTTTTGGTCTTCGGTTCTTCGTACCTATGGTCGGAAATGGCTTGATGATTTACGGGCCAAAACAAGGTTATGAAAATCCAAGAGAAATTACTAGACGTATTGTATGTGCTAATTGTCATTTAGCTAATCTCAAGCATCTGACCTAATCCGTTATCCTGTTCCCATGAGTAATCATGTGTTAGTACATTGATCTAATTGTCACCATAGCTCACGAGAAAAAACCTCAACCTCTGCTTCTGCAAAATTCTAAATCTTGACTCCAAACTTTATAGGAGACTCTACACCGTTGAAAATTTTAATTGCACAAAAAATCTTTCTATTTCATACCTCTCATATTCATCTAATTGCTTTACATCAACAAACTTTGCTGATGTAATATGACTATGTTGATAACATGTTCTTGAATATTTTTTTTATCATTGTTGTTGTAAGTTAAGTATTTTGGTCTTACTGTTTTGTCTACACCTATTTTGTATTTTATAGATTTAGCAGCTAAGATTTTCTAGCGGCTGAGTATGGTATACATTAGGACTTTGTGTTGTGATAACTATTTTTTTAGAACTCCAAGAACAGCTTGGTATTCTATTATAAGCTCTAACTATCTTATGCATTTTACTTCTTGATTGATACACTCTTTACCTTATGAAGCTTATTGAAAATACTATTCCATAAGAACTACACTTGTTATTATTTCTAGAGTGGATACACATGTCATCTACTTCTTATTTACCATTGTCATTTCCAAGAATATATCATCAATTTGCTTGCATCAATAACTTGAAGCTAATCTACATTGAATTCTTTCAGTTTTCAACAAATTACAATGATTGAACTAAAGTAAAATGTTTTTCTCAAAATAACATTATTTTAAATTCTATAAGAACATAATTTTTTTACGTTAAAAATAAATAAATTAAAATTTTGCGTTTATATGTTGACTTATTTTTTTAGCAATGATTTATTTTTTTAAATAAATATTATAAAATTTTTAACAAAAAAAATTCAAATTCATGTGATGTATTTTTTTTTTCAAAATAAATGAAATTTTGAATTTTAATTTAAATCTAGTTTTTTTAATCTTTAATAAACTTTGTAAAATCAATTTATGATCAAGTAGAATGTTATATTTGTATTTCATAAAATTTTCATTTTCATTTTTTCATAGTATTAATTATCAAAAATTTAAATATTTTAATGATGTTTAATTCAATATTTTTTAATCATATCATAATTGATATTATTATTTCATCTTTAGAAGAAAAAAAATATTACGTGATCATTTGGAAGTTTGATTTTACATCTATATAAATAAATTTTTTTTATAATATTTTAAATTCTTAATCCGTATGAAATTTGATCTAATTTATAACTTCAATTAAAATTTGGATAAAAGTTGTAAAAAATTATTTCAATTATAAATAAATAAAATTTACTTGAAATTTAAAACTAAACCTCAGTACATAAACTTGTTTTTTAAATATATTTTTTCAATGTTTTGATTAATTTTTATGAATATCTACTGTATTGATTGGTTTATTTTGTATATATAGAACTTTAGTGAGTAAAATTCTGATTAGTTTGTTACTACCGAAAAAAGTTTAAATCGAGAAGAATAAGGCTACTGCTAGTCCCTACTCCCTAGCCGGATGATGCGCACTAACCTTTGACGGCAAGAAGCTCGGGCTCGAGGAGATCCACACACGACGAGCAACAAATGGACACGTTCATCACAATCGGCTGCACATATCCAGCGAGCAAGGTTATGTCAAATTGACGCTCTTAATCCTCGCACTAACATCCAGACGGAACGAAGAACACCAGCGAATGTTAAGATTGATGGCAAAGATCCATCGGGCCGCACGCAGAGGCATATGCCGGCCCCCGGGTGACCACGACAACTCTGCACTGAACTACAACTAAGTGTCACAACGAAGTCCCCTTCAAATCGAGTACATCAAAGATCTCTTCCAAAACAGCACGGACGGCTGAGGACTGAATTGAGAAGGAAAATCAGAGAGAGAATGTCAATTGGGAGAAACTTCTCATTTTCACCTTATGCTTGTCCTCCGGTTTCTTTCGCTCCGCCGGTTGTTTGGCTGGCTGCACGAAGGTTGAATCGACAAAAAGTTTCGGATCCCGAATGAGCTGCTGAGCACTACCCGCAAAGCCTTGAATGGCCTTGAAAGTTGTCCACCTTCTGGGCTGACTAGCCAGTGTTTGGTCTACAATGTTTTCATCTTGTACTATTACCCCAAGGTTATCTAGTTGTGCAACGAGAGAATTGAATTATTGTAGGTGAGAATCTACAGTTTTCCCTCACTCATTCTTTTATCTTTTAGAACTAGTCTACATGAGTGATTTTATATATCATATACTTTTCTATGTTTTTCCCAAATCTTTAATGAATATGTAATATGAATAATATGCAGTATGATGTGATACTTTACCATTGCAACAATGATTCAAGAAGCGCGGATCTTGCACTCAAAGTAGTTCGTGGGAGGAAATGGTGATGCTGGTTTCGTTGCTTGAACAGCTGCGGTGGTGGGATTGGAGACAGTTACCGAATCTGCGCTCAAACTCCTACTCTCCAGAGTTAGATTTGAAGTAGATGCAATAAACCCATTACCGCAGGTTTTCTTGCATGAGTGCCATCTTGACCTTGTAATTCCATAACATGTAGTTTGACTGTCACTCTAATTTTGTTGAGCAACCCTAAACTCTCAAGATTGAATCCATTTGTACCGATAGCAAACTACACTGATGATCTGTTGTAAACTACATAGTTCGCTCTGATAACATATTGTGATAATGTGTACATGCTCGAGAGAGAATGATTAAGATTAAACAAGATTAAACAAGGAGTTTATATACATGGCCATGGCGAGATCTTGATTGTTTGTTCGTCGACGAAGGCTGCAGCACTCGATAAACGTTTGTTGTAATCGGCGACAAGCGAACTAGTGATCAAGATACTGCCTTTGATAAACGTGTCACAAACCTTTGGTCTTCTCTATTTACACTAACACGCTGCTCCGTCGCCTGCCTCGCGATGTGCTTTCCTCATCATCTCCCATAAACTCCGCGCTCCAAGTGGACATTCATTCCACATGATCTCGACGGTCCTCTGCTTACAGGCAGCCGCTATGTGAGGTGTCCCGCAGAAACATCTTTAAAGCATCTATTTGAATCCTCGCTGCCTTCTAGTTTCTCGTTCGGTGCCCATGTTGAGATAGCTGTTCATAAGTTGCAATGCTTATTGGGCGGACTCCGGCAGGTATTTCTGTAGTGCCGCAGGCGGAAAAATTTCTCGACCGCGTTTTCACGATCTGTAGCTCAGAATCTGCAGACCCTTCCTGTAGCTCCGCCACTGTGTACAATGCTGAGGATGAGATTTTTGGATCATTGATAATATTCAATAGCTCACGGATATGTTAAAAACAAATTGCAGAATCATGTGTGGTGCATTTGGTATCTCCAGAGTTTCACTCTGCTCCAGTGGACATGTGGAAAGGAAGAATTGTTTGAGTGGTGATAGGCAAACTTTCGTTAATCTCACCTCATGTAGTGAGTGATAAACCATTCTGCTACCAAAGAGATTTCTCGATACCATCCCTTGCCCACATTCTCCACAAAAAGCGAGCAACAGAATAAGCTCATGTATCTTGTACTCATCCGACGACGTCCATGCTTCATCATTGTTAGACAGAAGGACGTTCCCTGCCAAGATTTGGCTTCCCTGTTAGCTCATGCAGACTTCTTGGGCTGTTCTATATATAGCATGCTGTCATTTCGTGTGAACATTCAAATGACGAGCTGTTTGTATTGATGTACGTTGGAAGTTGAAAGAAGCGCGGCCGCTGCTCAACGTCTGTCTGTATGCGAATGCGAATGCTCCTCGCGAGTGTTGAGCAGAGCTCAAGGATTTAATCTTCCCTTTTGTGGATGAATGGCGATTGCATTTGATGGCGGGCCTCTGAGAGCTTTCTTTCGTATATATGATCCTGTCATGATATCCAAGGTGTCGGAACGAAGAGATTTATCCTTCGGGGAGGTGCGTGTGATTGACTACCTTTTAGATACATGTCGATGGAGGACTGAGATGTCAATACTCTCCGGAGGATAAATAGCATCTCCATTGCAATTTTTCATGTTGAACCTTACAAATATCCTTTTATCATAGTTACCTTGTATTAATCATAGGTTTTTATGCTACAAAGTTTTCTATTTTCATCACTAAACTCCTATTTGCTACACTTATACTTTATTTTTTCTCAGAATTCAAGAGAGTTTCAAATGGATATACTTGTAATAAGCATAAGATTTAAATCTACCTATAGTGATTATGTCATCTGCATAGAATAATATAATAATAAAACAAATAATCAATTATTCATCTATTCATATATATACAGAAGGATCAATATAATATAAATATTAAAATAAATTCATGGAATATTTTTTATTACCCAAGTAAGATTTTAATTAAAATTTCAATCAATTCTAAATAAAATGTTCACAATTATATTTTAAATAGCATCTAATTATCATACATGAAACTGATGAGTTATAATGAGGAGCAATGCGATTTATGGCAAGAAGAATAAAAAAACAATGCAAAACGAAGTAACAGGGAAGATATTGATGAGGAGGTGAAAAGAGACATCAATGAGGCAAAAGTTTAACCCTAAGGAGGCGGTTTGCTTGATAGCGGTAAAGTCATGTCGTCATGTAACTATTTTGACCTTTTGGATGAGAATGAAGCTGTCATTGCTAGAGCCTCTAAGACTCCCCTGCCTAGAAGCCCATCAACTAAAATTGCAGCAGAACTCCTATTGAAGCGCAGGCCCATTCCGGGTTCCTATCGAACCGACTCCACCAACTGAAGCGATGAAGGAATAGAGAGCAATTAATAAAATGGACAGGAAAGAGGTCTTGGATCTGGCCAAGGTTGTGGTGATTACAAAGGTGAGCTTGAAGATGAGTTTAACGCAAGAACCATAATGACTTCTCCGAGTATTGCGACCATTATAATGATTGCAGAAACAACTTAAAAAAACAACAATGACCATTTGGGAAAAACTCGTGTAGGTTTTGTTGTTGGAGCAGGCGGTTTTGATGGCGATTAAGATGAGAGGGCACCACATGGACAAGATGGAGAAGATTCAAAACTAGGATGCAAACTGGTTGACATGATGCACTGAGGTACACATAACTATGTTCAGTTTAGGAGGAAGGTAAAATATCGGTATCATGACTTTAATAACGATGTGATTGCAATGATACAGTATATCACATGGTGATCATATGTCTAGTAGATCAAATGGTGACGATGTTAATATTCCTTGCAATCAAGAGCGGGATTAATTAGACTTACTGCACATTTGGAGGAGTTTAAATATTCCTGATGCTAATAGAGATACAATGTTCGCTATGACATTGGAGTGTATATCCTTATATGATGGGCATTTTATCACGCATTGCAATCTAAGCGGATTATGTTTGGGATGATGATGTTCATAAAGATTTCTATAAGAAATATTTTGCATAAAACATAATTATAAAATTGGCAATATTCTTCGCCTGTAATATCCATTCAACCGTCGCCGAATGCCGAGAACGCAATAAACAAATAAACATACTTTGTTTCGCCACTCCACGATAACAGAGTTATCGGCAGATGACCTCTCCTTCGTTTTTCTGCTTGTGAACTTGATTCAACGTCCATCTCTGCACATTGATAATTCTCTGGCAGCTTTGAAGCACCGACAATTTCCAGACTCTCCAATGAACAGACAAACATGGGAAGGCTGCGCTCCTGCTGCCACGTACGGCAGCCGTAGTTACTTTAGAGCCCTAAAGTGGGCGTCTAGAGGTTTTGAAAGTCTAAGTAATCGAAGTTGGCCACGGTCTGTCACGACTATACTTGAACAGGATCTGTTCTATAGTTCGTACATCTTGATCTGTGATCTCTACCGCAGTCAAGTCCCTTAACCCGGACGATGACCAGGGTCTTGGATGCCGGTGCGCGAATACCGTAGGCCGGGCGTGGTACGAACCCATGCTCAGCTCAGCCTGATGACCGTCCCGCCGCGCCCATTCCGCCGGCGTTGAAGGCATCCAAGCGTTCTGACGGGTGCGCTCTTTTGTCTTCCCTTTTGTAGAGAAATAGCCTTTGATAGCTTTCTTTCGTATATATACTCCTGCCATGATATTCAGGGTGTCGGAACTAGTAGATTTATTCCTTCGGGAAGGTGCGTGTGATTGATTACACATTTATTATCATTATTTCTTAAAATTTACAATCAAAATTTGTCATGAAATTTGTCATTTTTATCATGAATTAAATTTGTAAAATTTAATTCATGATAAAGCTTTAATTTTGAATAATTCAATTAAACACTATTTCTAAAAAAGTGTTGATGTCAATGTTTTATTTTTTTCACAGCTAGATGTAAATTATTTTTTATCATAACAAAAATATACTATATTATGTACTAATTTCATTTTTGTGATCTGTCAATTCAATCAAATAGACTGGTATAGTATTTTATGTATGCATTGACTTTTGCAATGTATATCTTTAATTTATGACTCTATCATGAAATGTAAACACATTGACATTTAAAAATAGTTCTTCATCCAGATTTAAATTTCAGATCTAGTTAAAACTCTTATTCATAGCAATACTTCATTGGATTTAATGCAAATCATCAAAATTTAATAAAAAATTTAAGATGTTTTTGACATCAAATCTTTTGTCACATCATTTTACTATAGACAAAAGTGATGAAATTTAAAACTGAATTAAGAAAGTAGTCATAGACTTGCACTTTCTCATGTTGAACATAATTTATATCCTTTTAGCATAGTAAACTTGTATTTATAATAGTTTCTTCTATTTCAAGATTTTTTTCCGTTTTAAATATCTTCTTGCCACATTGACATTTTTTTTCAAATTCAAACTAGTTTTAAATATGTATTCTTCAAAGCAATCACAAAATTTAGTTTCATCTAAAATGTCTTTCCTCTGCATGAAATTCTGATTTAATGAAGGAAAAAATAATTTTTTATCTTTTAAATAAATAAAAGGATTAAAAAAATATGAAACGATTTTTTTCATTGTATATGAGATTGCTTTATTTCATACAAGATATTAAAATAAGGAAAGAAAATAAAAAAATTTACAATTATAGAATTTTTCATGAAGATGATATTAGTTAGTTTTTGTACATAGAACATTGATTTATAGCAAAAAACAAAGCGATGTATGGTAGAAAAAATAAGAAAAAATGCGAAGAGAAGCAAAAACCTCCATTTGATCAGAAGGTGAAAGAAAACACCATCGAGGAGACACTAAACCTCAATGAGCTTCTACCGAGTTTAAAACTCGGTAGCAGCTCAGCCACAGGAATTTAGACTGGTGATATTTTACATCGAAGGCTTTGGCAAGGTCCTTTCGAAAGAACTGCAAAGCTTATTTTCAATGATAAAAGTCGAATTTGGAGTCGATTTCAAGTTCTCTCCATAGCAAATGTAGCCGCAAGAAGCCGCTTTGTATTCATGAGAAAGTTTGCGAACGATGAAACTTTCATAAAATATCAGTTCAGATAAATTCTTCTTCTGACGTCCAAAATTGGAGTTCAAGATCAGCCGGTAATAAGAGAATGTGAAAGAAGTTGTAAAGGAATGTGAAGCAAGTTGGAAGTGGTAAATGGTGATTATTAAGGAGTCTCAATCTTATGTGAATATGTTCGAAAAGGTACGCATGTAATGACATAGTGAAGAAATTGCAACTTTTTCATGACAAAATGTCCCTGTTTTGAATATAGGGGCATTTTGTGAATAAAGCGCAAGAGAGCTGAATTCAATGAATCGATAGAAGAGCGTGCATTATGTGGAATTTCTCTTAAAAGTAACCTTTTGTGATTGCCCGAAGGCGAGAACGTTGGTTTTCCCTTCGCGCACCCATATAATACTCAATATCTTTTCAATTTAGAATTATTATTGCACATGAATAAGTTCCTTGTAATGAAGGCCCAACTGAGTCACTGGGTGAAACAGACACGTCAAGGTACGCACTGCCCGCAAAGCTCTGCGAAGCCCATCGTCCATCAAGGTTTGGAGCTAGAATCAGACTCTTTCCGCCAATTAGTAAGCTGAATCGGAAATCCATCATTTACACGTTAATTATGATGAGGATTGTTCACCTTTATTACACTGGTCGCTGAATCTACAGGCCGAGGACAATAGGAACGAGATTTAATTTTTGAATATAGTAAACCTTGTCCAATGCTAGGTAGAGCAACTCTCGGCAACTATATCTGGAGTCATAAGAAGTAAACTTGGTACGAATAGCTCGTTCAAAGTAGATTCTCTTTCTCGATTTCAAGAGTTTTTAGGTACCTAGTGACTAGAGCAACCAAATTGTCGAATTGCCTCACACTGGCAAGGGTGCAGCTCACCAGCCAACTGGAGAGCATGACGAACATAATTTCGAATTCCAGCGGCTTGGACGAAAATGCGTATGGCAAGTGGGTAGATATTGTCACCAGTCTAAACTAACTTCTCGTAGATAAACAGTTCAATTGATAAGGATAACATCAGTACGTAATCATAGAATAGCGGTCGGTAACCAAATTTCTGTTTTGATTACAGTACTAAGACCACTGGGTTGCAGGCAGGGCCATCGCAGACATCACAAAATACTCCAATGTTAGCCTAGGTGTGCGTACAACCCTGAACAGGAAAGTAAATTTGAAAATTCTCGGTTGTGAATTCCTTCCAATCTACAATCTTCATGTGTCCAGCTATAACGAAGGCCTCTCGAACAAGATGCTGTCTTTCGCAGTCAGCTCATTCCATCCCATCAGAGCTCATTGCTTTCTTGACACACTACTCTGTCTATCCCTATATGTGACCGACTGTCATTTGTTCAAATTCAGAATTCTCTGTACATTAAAGTATAGAGAGCTCGATCTGCTCAACTACTAGTTCCTAGTACCAGACTTGTTGTTTGTTCAGATTCAAAATTCTCTGTACATTAATGTATTGAATGCTCGATCTGCTCAACTACTACCAGTTCCTAGTACCAGACTAGCCCAAGTACTTGGTTTAGTATCCTCCTCGGTTCTTTTAGTACTTATCTTTGTTATATACCATGCTTGCGTATCTCCAAATAATATTTGGACAAAAGTATGCCCTGAAGACTTTCCAAAGCTCGTACTGTACTCGTTTCCATTTCAGACTACTTCATGCAATAGGTCAAATGTCGCACACTGTCGTCAATTGAGATAGATTGTTGCCATTGTGTTCAGCTTTTACATCTGATAGAAATTTCTCCTAGCCGTAGTTGAGGCCAGGCCTACAAGTCACCAGGAGGCCTTGCTGCTGTTTCTGTCTGTAATTTGACAAACGCACCGATATTAGTATTGACAGTTTCAGGAAGTGCGCACAGTCTCTATTAAGGACATATCTAATCCAACCAAGGCCATCATTGTACAGACAGATCTTCGAGCTATTTCTTCAAATGGTCGAACGGTCATGTACTTGGCAAGACTTATAAAACAGACGTACCCATAATTTGCAGGCCCGTCGGTTGCATTTCTGGTTGATCCTCTAAAGCCCTTGGCGATTTAGGTCTTACAGTGGCATCTCCGGACTACAGCAAAACAGATGCACTTTCCATTCAGTTCTTGCAGCTGGAAAATATAACAAGGTTCCTACAGCAGACCGTGCGCACCTCCTTCTCTTCGCAAGAGGGTTGCAGGTTTTGGAACTGATACCGAGCTGACGGTGAGAAGAAACTCAATGGAGAAGAGTGACATTCTGTGCGCAAATCCGTGACACTCATGATTCTAGTCATCTTCACAACAGGCCAAAACGAGGCAGATATTTCAAACCCACCAGCTGTTGTTTCATGTACTCATCAACAGCCCATTGATATTTGGAATCGTTTAGTCCAAAAAAGTTCGCTATATGCTCTTCCGCTACATTCACAGCTGCACACATGCAAAGACGTGTCAGATTGTTCTCAGCGCCCAGAAATTTGTGTCTTAGAGTCAATCAATCTTCTCCATGCCGAAGACTCAACCTGCTCTCCAATCAAGGAACCAAGCGTCGAAAGATTGAACAAGTCGGTTGTTGTCGGGTCGATGCACTCTCCTTGTTTACTTCTTCGAGTCTTTCGGCAATTCTTTCCGAAATTTCTTGCGGATTCATTCTTGCTTGGCATACAGCTTCGTACAAACTAGAGCACTCAAGCCTGACAACATCTCTGTACATATCTGACACGGGGTGTTTTCTGCAGCCTTCGAAGGTGAACTATCTGCATAGACAGCATAGATTCTACTCGCTGCAAAATACAAGACACATGCGTTCATCGCCTTAAAAAATGCACAGACAGTACAGACGCTGGCCAGACGACAAACCTTTTGTAACCCTAGACCAGAAGCTTGGAGTTGCGGCCTTAGCCGGAGTGCCACCAGGCGCGGTCTCGATATCCACGACCGTCGAGGAAGGTGATGAATTCATCTTGAAACAAGTGAAGTATTCAAAGCCGGATCCTCCACTGACCTTCAGACCCTACGTGTGTGAATCGATATAGAGCACAAAATCTCGAACTATCCTCTCGAAGAAACATCGCTTGCTCTGTACAACAGATCGACTTTACCGCTTTTGTAAAGTCTTGGGAGCTGTGCTGTTCACGAAAATCTGCAACATTTCCTGGCTGCCGTCATGACTCATCCTTAAAACATGAGAGTACGTGAGGTGCGTGCGTCTGATACGAGGACTAGTGGATCCAGATTCGAGCTGGGCAACATGTACTCCGCCCGTGAATGTCGTAAACTCTACATGCTCCGGCCTTCTTCTTGTACCCACAGAGCGTGAGTTTGTAGAAACACTGCCAGCACGAGCTACGAATTGGATTCTTTCTGTGAGTCACACCGGGGCCCAAGTGGCACGGACAAGAAAGTGTCGCACTTTCGGGCTTATATCCAATCAGAAAATAAGACTTGGACTTCCGCATGGTCTCCTCCGACATCAATCACATGACCCCATATGATTCACAGCAGTGGTACTCGAATGATATAATAAGCTTACTTGGAATTTCCAAAGAATAATCATCGGTTATTTTTGGGAATTTTATTATATATCTTGAAAAATTAAGAGAATGAAAAAACATGTTATAATCTGATAATTTATGATATTTTTTTTAATTATTGATCAGTTACATGTAAACACATCATTTATCTTTCTATTTTAGATAAAATAATACAAAAAAGAATTAATTTTACACAAATATAGTAAAAAATCAGTTATAAATTATTGAAATTCTTATATAAATCAAGAAACTATATAGTGTAATGTTTAGTGAAGTTTTGAAAATAATTAGTTTCATAAATCATATTTGATATATATAAATGAATGATGAGATATTTGAAATCATTATTTTAATCTTAAATATATTATATTTAATTTTTAAAATTCCAATTGAAACTTATACTTCAGATGAAATTTGAAATAAAAATATATTATTTGTAAAATTGAAATTGAATTGTTTGTATTTTTTAGCATTTTGATATCACGAGGCTGAACTATTTATCATTATTATATAGATTTTCATGAGGAAAAATAAAATCATTTGGTTGTATCATAACTATTACAATTAACGATATATTATGGTATTATTTAAAAACTGATAGTGAACAGTATTATAGCTATTACATTTATCGATATTATTATATTATTATCAAAGTGAACAATATTGTACTAATGAGTAGAAAGTCAGATGATATTGCTCGCAGAATGGGGATTGTTTGCACAGCTTAATTTTCATGTTTAATCTTCACAACATATATATCTTGCCTTTCGAAAGAACTTATTTTACCAGTTGAAAAGGGAAACCGACTTATAGTCAGGTCCTGGTGTACGCTTCATAATCAGTAACAAATCATTGACGTTTGTTCTTAATTGAGTTTCGCAATAATATCACTGCATTCGGAACGATACAAGATGAGAAGTAATGACATCCAGTGTGGAAATGTTAACATATGCAGTATTGCCTGTGCGGCCAACGAAAAGCATTGAATGCAACGTCTAGTAGAGGAAGTGTCGTAATAGGGCACAAGATGCATCAGAGTGACAGGATAGCGCAGATCCTAGAGATGTATTATCCGAGAACCAGAGATATCGAACGCAGATCTAAGAATACTCATATTGAATTGTTTATCAGATAATTAAATTACTGTACAAAATTGAATGTATGATACATACGACCCTAAGTCTGTTCTATATCCTAGAACTCTGGAACCTTTAGACTGAATTCTCCTATTCCACTACTCCGTTTTACATGGACCTACTCATTCGCCGGCTACATTTCAGAACTTAACACCTCGTTTCTTCTTGCTCTTCAAGACCTTTTTCGATACGTGACCTTTGCTACTTTTTCCTCTTTTCCTGATGCCACCAGTTGCCTTCAAATTCGTTGGAGCGGATGACGAAGGCAATTCACTGTCGACTGCCATGGACGTCAATGCTTCTGCTGCGGCAGTAGCGGCACCTGCAGGGACGGTACTCCTTCCCCGAAAAGGAGTAGTGTCGTCCTCCATTTCTGCAATACAGACGTTCCATCACATTCAGAATAGATGTCTTCTCGTTGAGAAATTTCATAAGATGTGTAATAACTGTACCTGAGTTTATTGACGCTTGAAATGCGGGAGGTTCACAGATCAAGTAACACAAACAGGATTCGTTTTAGCACCAGCATAGGGCAGGATCCTCAATGAAAATCGGAGTGCCCGGGGTAGCTACGTGCAGAAACAAAAATATGATTCACATTCCAGGAACAAGTCCTAAATTAATAGTTGCAGGGCAAAGATAACAGGACGATAAGAACAATCAACCGAAGGACTGATTTCTAGTACTCCTATCAGGTTTTAAAACAGGAAGAAAGTATATATCCATCCAGATACCAGTTGAACGAAGATTGAATTTATCTACACCATTGACGCACGCCAAGCGGTGAGAATATCACTCGGCATGTAACACGGGTAGGTACAGTCTAGCACATGCATAGGGCAGTCACATCCTTTTGTATCAGAGCAGCCCGGGGTTGCTACGTGCATCGAGATCTCAAAATTAGGCTAGGCGGTGCGGAGAGATCAGATAAAAGGAAGGACGTTTCAGAAGTTCAGAAAAGACTCGTAGTTGACAACACATCATGGACAAAGTCCAGAAACACGTACCTTCACGCTTCTTCGGAAGCTCAATCTTTGGGGCTGCAAATGCAGCCGCTTGGATGGCAAGTTTTGCGACATCCTTGGCATCATAGTGAGGCTCCACGAGCTCTCTCTTCAGAGTTCTCAAGCGTTTTTTCCTCTTGGACCTAATGGACTTTCCCATCGTGTTACTGACTCAGTGCACGAGACGAGGCGACTGTCACAAGATTTCGACAGGATGAAGCTTGCAATTGCACGACTGGTGAGGGTTCCTTAACCCCTTTTCCACACAGCTCCGTAAGGAAATGAAGGTGAGGTCTTTATCTGCCACCTTTAGGGTTAGGGTTGCCAGGGCCAACAGAGTCTGCAATACTCGGCACAGTTCAACGACTACAGTACTCCTGCGGGGTGTTGCTGCAGCAGGAGCAGTCGGTGTTCTTCTAAAGCGACCAATTACCAGGCGGAAACTTGTAGAAGAACAATTCGTTCTCCTATCGGTGCCCAATTGTCCTTTGCGGTCTTCTCAAATCTTGTGCGCAGTTGGATTGTTACAAAAGGACGTCATCCTATACTCGTCCGTGACGGACGAGTATAGGTGGACGGACGTTCCGTCCACCCTCGACGGACGGAGGATTACATTCCCGTCTGTATTGGACAGAACACGTGTAATAAATTCGGGAAAAATGAAGAAATTCGCTGTCCAAAAAGCGGAAAAGACGAAGAATTTAGAAGAAGCCATTCTGAAACCAGTGTCTCCTGAGCGCTTTTTTGGAATGGGTGTAAGGTTTAGGGTTTAGGTAACGACGATCAGATGTTGGACGAGGCAACTCTGAGAATCGAGGGATGATGGTTTGCACGGCTTGAGACCAGGGCGTGAATGTTGTCCGTCTGAGTTCTTGTCCGAGAATCACGAGTCTTCTGGTCAAGGACATTCTGGTAATACATTCATTATTCGTCCGAGAATTCACGGATCGGTTCGCAAGGTAAGATGTCAGAAATGGAAACGGAAAGAAAGCGGAAGCGGAAGAAGATGAAGATTTCGGAGAAGACGCTGGAGAGACAAGCAGAGCAAGCCGCGAAGCTGGAAAGCATTTTGTTCGGGAAATCTGCGAGGGAAACTGATGTTGGGAACGACCTCAATGGTACTTCCGGCTCCCATTCGTCTTACTTTACTTTTTGGAAATCTTCATAAAAAATATGCTTCCAATATCAACGAAATTCAAACCAATGATACGGAACAATTGCTTTTACTGAAGAATGTATGCGCTTGCGTAATGCAGGGGCCGTCGACATATTTTCTTCTTCTCGAGAAGTAGCTGTAGTTGAGAAAGTAGGCAAGAAGCCCGTGTGGTTGGACGAGGATGAAGAAAAGACTGTCATCAGAGTGTCGGGCATCAACCGGTTGAGGAAGTTGCGAAAGGAGCAAGAAGAGGAGCATGTCTCAGGTGGGGATTACGTTTCCAGGCTTAGGGCGCAGCACACGGTGTTAAACAGGGGAACATCATGGGCTGAGCTCCCGTCTGAGAGGACGATCAGGAAGGAGGAATTACCAGGTTGGGGTTCTGAATCTGACACTGAGGAAGGTGGTAGAGAGGAAGACAATGGTGAATTGGTCAATGAGGAACATCAGACTTTGTTGGACAGCAGTGACCTTGTTGTGAAAAGCTCATCAAGATTGCCCCACGGCGTTCTGGAGATCACAGCCATGAGGGATGGGAACAGTGAGGAACCATCCAACGCTGTCATTCAGTCGGTCCAATTTCACAGAAACGCCCAGATTCTTATGACAGCGGGGTTTGACAAAAGGCTGAGATTGTTTCAAATTGATGGGAAACGTAATCCCAAGCTACAGAGCATCTTCCTCGAAGACTTTCCAATACATAAGGCAGCATTTGTTCCTGACGGCTCAAAAGTTGTTGCTTCTAGTAGGAGGAAACATTACTTTGTCTATGATATGGAAGGAGGACAGGTTCAAAAGATAAACCCACTCATGGGAAGGACAGAGAAAAGTTTAGAAAGTTTTGAAGTGTCTCCGGACAACAAACAGATAGCATTCTTAGGTAACGACGGTTACATCCTTCTATCGTCTCTGGCCACCAAGCAATGGGTAGCCAACTTGAAGATGAACGGCTCAGTTCGGTCCGTCAGTTTTGCTGAAAATGGGAATCACCTACTTAGTACCGGTGGAGACGGAGAAATTTACCACTGGGACCTTAGAACGAGGCGGTGTTTTCATAAAGGCACAGATGAAGGCTGCGTAAAGAGCAGTTCTTTGGCGGTCTCTTCGGACAGCAAATTATTTGCTACCGGTTCCGGCAGCGGAGTGGTGAATGTGTACAACCGGGAGGCTTTTATAGGAGGGGCTACACGACCCGTGAAATCACTTATGAATCTCGTTACCACGGCAGATAATCTGAAGTTTAATAATGACTCTCAGATACTCGCCATTGTGTCTAGGATGAAGAAAAACGCCCTGAAACTCGTCCATCTCCCTTCTTACACCATCTTCTCCAATTGGCCATCTCAACAGACCCCACTGCACTACGTTCACTCACTGGACTTCAGTCCCGGTGGAGGGTATCTTGCAGTAGGAAATGCTGTGGGACGAGTCCTACTTTACAGGCTTCGTCATTACGCTAATGCTTGATGTCGGACGCTTCTGCAGTTGCATTCATGTAATATACTAATTTAGGTTCCATAGTCTTGCTGTCTTCTGACCTCAAAAGATATGCTGATGTTCCGATTCGGTCGAGCCAAGATAACCATTTTTTCGGTCCATGAGGCCAAAGGCAAAATAATTCTAAAGTTCCGAATGTCCCGACTCGTCGTTCTAACTTCATCTGTGGTGACAGTCATTTTTGTCAGAATCAGTGGTGTGTACTTGGAAAGTGAATGGGTGGAGTGACCTTAGTACTTATATGATAAGTTGTTCTTGAACTCTCATACGATTTTACAGTGTTGGGTATATTGTTTCAGTTGTTGCGATGTGTATATTAGTGTCTCATCTCTGTGGTTAATGCCTTCGCGTCCAAAATCAGTTGGATTCAAAATTGTACTTCTGTTTAGGCTCTTCTGCGATAGAAAGATGTCTTTGAAGTGATCTGTGTGAATGGAGTTTTCGTTTTTGTCTGAATCCACAATGCAGAAGTATTTTTAAATCGGTCCCATGCACTGATGAACACTTTGTCCAAAGCTTAATGAGGTTCCTGTCAAATGTAATCAGTCATTAGAAATCACTCCCCACGTCAATATCTTTTTCGTCAATATCAGGTTAGCAGGCAAGCTTCAGTCTCTTTGTTGCTCAATTCAAGGTCGACGTACAGGGTTGTTTTCTTTAAAACTCAGTTCTCGGTATATAGTCTTGTTCACAGAACTTGCACTCCAGGAAACGGAACGCAAGGGATTTTATTGAGCTGAAAACTCTTTGAAGAACTCAATCTACTCTGCACTGGCGAGCGAAATATTGCATCCTCTGAACGAAATGAGATACCAGAAGCTTACTGTAATCCTCGGAGTAAATTGTATTTCCAAAATCTGCCATCCCACACTTTCTGATGGAGTCTATCCCGAAGTTAGTGTAGCACTGCACCTCAAATGCATGGACAGATCCCTCGTTTGTGAATATTGCACGGGGGGTCAACAGCAGAAGTAAATAACACTGCTCGTCTAGAGAGAATCATATAATTTTTATCGATCTTCACAAACGGCAATGAAACCCAGACGGCTGACCATAACCTCTTACCAACTGCAATAGACCCGTGTACAACCACGTTTTGCAAAGCCTGAGTAAAAACATAGCAAAGTCATCACTAATCTTAGCTACGGTTGGATGTTACTGAGAGGATGTCTCATGAAACACAACCGTAAGATCTATGGTAAGTCTGTGTGGTCAAATAAGCTTGTATTTGGAGTAATGTGTGTCCCAAAACTTTTGGGACACACATTACTCAAAATACAAGCTTATTTGGCTTATTATTATTAGGCTTTTGGGCCAAAAGCCTAAGCCAGGGAACGTTCACAAGGAGGTAAAACATAAGAATAGTGGACTGCAGCAAAAAGGTGGTGTATTTGGTTATTTTCAGTAGTAATGAATGTTCAATTTTGTAAATTTCACGAGACTCATCAGTTAGAAAGTTCACTTCGGAAGTAATCCAAATTGTATCCTTGAGTCGTCATACTCTTGCAGACAGTCCTTCTGTGACTCCTCAGCCATTGGAAAGACGAAAAGGGAGACTCATGGAATAATAAACTTCATGGGACCTAGTCGTCAGACGTAAAGCCAAAGCAGGCTAGAAATGAATCAACCCAGTCCCAAAAAAAAAAGACGGGAGATAATCTCTCTTGCATGAAGCATAAATTCTCCATATGCACCGATGAAGTATTCTACTGATCGGTTATCAGATGAGGTCTATACTAACCATCACCAAACACAGTTGTCTCTTTCTAAGTAGTGGAGGCTAGCCGGAGATGCAGGCATATCCTTGATCAAAAGACAACTATATCTTTGCAACAATTCTTTCTTCATGATAAATTCGAGACTGCTCTGCTAAAACCGAGAATTTCTAGCCAGGGCCATATGTGCATATGTTATAATAAGGAAATGAAGACATGTGATCACTAATCTCCGGTGACGCAAATGACAGCAGACGACATTGAAGCCCCGTGCGGTCCCTCAACAGGGGCGACTTGGTCTACCAGTCACCAGCACTCAGTACCGGGCTGGGCAGGTCATGTATAAAATTGAAGGTTACATGAACGCTTTGCAGAACCACAGTACAGATAGTGCACAATTATATCGCCATTTCAATAGCAACACCGGACCCACCCTATCCCGTTGAAGGAAACTGCACGCGTGTCAGTCAGTCTTCGGCGAAGTTTTGTCGTCCTCAGTCCTCTGGCTAGTTTCGAGCTTTGAACTTTGCCGGTCATGGAGAGCCGACAACCGGTCGGGGTCGACCACAAGAGAGCCGAGGGGATGGATGGATAGAAGAGTTAAGGAACGGTGACGGGAGACGAAGCGGGGGATAAGGTGCTCAAGGCAAGCGGAGCGCGCACTCGACCCTCTCCCAGACACAGCACGCGCTCGCTTGCGCATCTCGAGCGTCGTCGGCAGCTATGGCACTCATGGGATCGCTCAATGTCTCGTCGGCCGTCTCGTCGTCACCAGCGCGCTCCACGTTCTTCTCGGGCGCCCAAGCTCTCCAGGTCAGAAATCCATTCCGGTGTGATCTCAGTCTGATGTCTCATATTCCTCTGCTCATGGCGATTAAGCTTCTCGTACATCTCGCGCAGTCACGTCTCATGGGGATTTTTTTGTTTGATAATGTCTCCCATTTTCGATTTCGTGCGGCAATTGTCTCGTCCCCATCTTTTCGTTTCGACTTTGTCAGGTCTTGCTCTTCGCAGATACTTGACAATTCTTCGGACCTTTGCGTTATATGTTGCGCCTTGGAGACTGTGAATATCCTTACAAATGCAATCCATGTCCAATTCCTCTGAATATAGTTTCTTCGACATGTCAATTACGCTGACGTTGGCCCTACTCTGCTGCACACTATGCTATCACACATTGTCTGAGCTTCTTGAGGCTTCCACTGCGGCTTTCTTGTCAATTTTCGATGTTCGCGTGAAAATCGTAACGTTACTGTGGATGTTTTGGAGAGGATATGAAGTACATATTCGTGTCAATGTCTTTTCAATGTAACACAGCAGGGAATGAGTTTAGCAGCCATGTAGAATTGTGACCAGGCATCCCGGACTCTTTTTCTAGACTTTCTCGCCTAGACCCAAGCTGCCGGACGTTTTTCTTTCGACACTGAATGGTGACAACCTGTTCTTTATCCAGGTTGAGGCAGGCGACGCACGAGTTACCTGCAGAAAAGAAGGCATTCACCCAAAGTTCTTCACTGATGCGAAGGTGTACTGCAAAGGAGAACTTGTGATGAGTACCGGAGGAACTCAAAACGAGTACATTGTTGATGTATGGTCAGGAAACCACCCTTTCTTCCAGGGTAACAAATCTGCCCTCCTTTTGGATGCGGACAGAGTAGACAAATTCAAGCAGCGGTATGGAAATCTTTCGACTTTGAATGACATTCCAGTGCTGGAGAAAGGAGAAATTATCTTCGAGAAGAAAAAGAAGAACATGAAGGGTAAGGGTAAAAAGTAGGTGATAGGATTCGGAATGCTTTGAGACACAAAGTTCTCGGCCTCAAGCGCAGTAGTCCGCGATATCATTGCTTTTAGGTTTCCGTTTGTAACATACAGGTATACAAAGGAGCAAAGCCGAGCTTTCGAGACATGCATCGGGGACCATGGTAATGAGATCTTTTTTTCCTTTTTTAGAAGTAGCTATGCTTATTCTCATCCCTCAGCATTGGAGGATTCTACGAACGTAGGGACACATTGTTTCTTCATGATCATCGGTCACACAAGTTTTCCAGCAGCTCGGAATCGAAAGCCTTTGGTGGAGGATACATCCAGCTCCTTGTGATATGTAACCAGCTGTGTGTTCTACAGCTTGTCAGTGTTACTTTCTGGATATTTTCTCTTTTTCTCTCTTGAATGCTTCCAAAAGCCTGCTGAGCCAATTGCAATCAACTCCATCTCTGCCAAAAATATTAGTTCCTTCTCCGAGATTCATTGGACTTGACTCATTGAGTGAACAATCTAGCTATGAATTTAGGGCCATTTTGACTTGACTGTGCAGAGATATCCCGATTACGGTGCTCTTGACTTCTCGGCATTTTGTCCATTTTTTGTTAATCACTTGTGAAGGAGGATGCCTGAAGAAAACTATCGTCAACTTGACGTTGTGAGGAGGACAATTGCAATGATAATCACTAATGCTGCTGCTTTTGTTTGTGATAAAGTATCAGGCTTGCTAGTATTTTGTCATTGTCTATGACCTCTTTTGTAAGGTAGTTTTTGAAGATTTCACTACTAACCAGCTAAAACCAATAATTTTCCTCTCTTGCGATCCTCACTCACCCGTGTACCTAAATTTCGACTTCGCCATTAGGATGTATTATTCCTTAATATCCATTATATACATGTTTTATACTGATCACCGTATACGCTATACGTCAAGTTCCGGATGCCGAAGCTACTACCCCTCACCGACTAAAGTTATAGTATCCTTTGCCTAACATAGGCGTGTGAAGGTCCGTGTATCTACGGTCTCATGTGGTTAGGTGTGCCCTCTAGATTGTAAACACTGCAGATAATAGTAGAATATGAGTCCCCAGATAGAAATTTCCTTCACTGCGAACAAGCTTGCCTCCACACGGAATCTTCTATCTGCCAAAATGAAGGTCAGTGTACGTGCCGCCTTTGCGGCTGCAAGGTCCATGCAAGCTTGCTACGGTGCAGATAGTAGTAGAATGTAATGGGATTACGCTGGATGTTTGTACAATGTTTTCCACTGCAAAGACGTGACCAAGACCTCTAATCAACTAGAGTGACCTGAATACGATTCTGGCAGGTAAAGTTACTACAACGTTCAAAGGAGTGATATGAGTCAACCATGATTAGTGCAGATCTCACAAAGTCATCTGTGTCTTGGTTCCATTACTCGACTTAAGATTACTCGCCTCTGTGAGTAGAGTTGGTGGACTTTATGCAACTTAGCAGATGTCTATCCTTCTAACCCTGCTGACAGTCTATTAGTTCAAGCAAATAATGGCTCTTTCCTATGCGATTCATCAATGTCGCGTATGTATCAGTCCATCTGTTAAGCAAACACACTTGCCCTGAAGACCTGCTGTTTCATTGCTATCCTGGTTGTGTCTTGTCGTCGTGTTGACCTCCTTTCCCTTTTATCCTTGCATTTACATACTCGAAGAGTAGAAAATTGAATTCTGGTTTAGGCATGACCATATGTTGCCTCATCTTCGCCTGCTCGGACCAAGTGGTGAGAAATGTAAAACTAGAATTATTCATTATATTTGCCACCATGAGAATCTATTATCATTCACTGTAGCACAGTGAAATAGGTCAAACGATAATGTGTGAACATTGAACGTCTCCCTGTGCACGTCATCTATCTGATCCAGTGTAAAAGTGTCGAAGATACCGCCGAACAATATTTGTAAGTCCAATTCTGGGAGAAGATTTTGATTACCGTTGGTTGTTTACATTCACCGCGTCACCGCGTAGTAACCAGGCTCTCTGCGGAAGCTGCTGCTCAAGCCTATGGTGAAAATAATGAACTAGATAGGCTTCTTTCTCAACACTTGGCTGTCCACGTTCTCCGTAGTAACTCGTAATTCGGAAGAAACTACTGTACACTTTTGCTCATGTTTGCAGATTGTATGTGGTAAACATTCATAGACATTTGTAAATCATCGTGGAAGGATAGTAGTTTGTCCACACTGGCACTACTTAAAAGAATTCGTCTATTACATCTGTGTGTACATTATATTCAGCGATCCAGTGCCCTACAATGGCATGAAATACGCCAAGACTGTACCAGGCCATAACCGTGGAGAAGATGCGGCAAATAATTCACCTTTCTTTAATGTTCAATAGAGCAATCGTGAAGAAAAATAGACCAATAAGCTGGAGTTGTAGCAGGCGTGAGACGATGTCCATCATGTCCCAACACCTTACAACCAGAGATAGTCAAACGAAATTTCTATCCAGAGGAGGTCATTCGAACGATGCTTGGAAGGTTCATGTGGAGTTCCCATCTAGCCTGAAACCTCCTGGAAAAAACTTTACGTGTCTTTAGAAAAAAAATTGACTGTAGTCCCAATTGATAAGTAGTGCAATCCCATAAATATATCCCATATGCAATCTCTACGGACATCTAACAGATCTGAGTACAAATGCACCGCTTTTCTTGTGTTACGGTGATACGGATGTTGTTCAGCACGAGATAGAGACTTAGAACTTCATGGTTGTCCTCTCATCTTTCTGTCATCTAATTTGAATTTCGTCTGCGCATCCCGCCACTATCTTGGGCTTGACTTAAAATCTTACTTCTATGTTTCATCAGATGGGGTCTCACCAAATTCGCATCCTACAAGATGCTACGCGATGTATCATAGCTGATCATAGTCTGCGAGTCATAGTTGGACGGTAGGCCATCTTAATTTGCCAAGGAAAGAAAGCAGTGTCCAAAAGCTGAGAACCAACAGAGCTTTCATAAGAAAATATAGCAAAGTGGATGAAGTACTAACTTCGTCTTTATAACGCACTAATGCAAGAGCATGACCATCGCATGTGCAGAAACGTGCTGCTCAATATCAGTTTCATTGCTTTCACTCCACCGTTCAAAGAGATCGGGAGACTGAAGTCTGAGGCGTTCAATTTAATACTCCACACAGTATTGAAATGAGAGTTGAAGGTCTCTGTCCCCGAGGTCCCTGATTCCCGTTCTCTGACCGAGATCGGGAACTTTCAACTCTCTCCATGGCTTCAAAGCAACGGCAGGAGCTCCAACACCCTCGTGCGAGTGTGAAACTAATAATGTAGGAGAGTTGAGCTGTCTTCGACACCACTCGTGTACCTTCCCATGACACAGAACCAGAGACAACAACATGCACATGCTCCGTTAAGTCTTCTTCAAGCAAAGAATCCCTGTCCCGTATGCACACATCGAAATTGTAAACCAAAACTCAAGCAACCAAGACCTCCGGTCGTTCTCAAATAAAATACTCTCATCGTCAGCTGGCTCCTAAGACCTCAACATGTACTCTCCCCGCTGCACATGTAGCGTTCTCTGCCTTAACTTGGTACATTTGCCTTGAACCAGCTGCTCCCCATGCACAAAACATTCTATTTCAACCTATAGATCCATCCGCATTGCAAGGAGTAACATGCAAGAAAATTGGACCATTCTCACTCCACCTCACCTCATCTCATCTCACATTGGCTTCCGCAGCGCAAGCAGCTCAAATCCTTAGGGCATACAAAACACAGATCCCCAGCTACTCCTCGGTATCTAAACCAAGTCCTCGAACAATCTAAATCCACTGCTGCTGCAATTTGTCTTCTTATTTTGAAAGCACTCGGGGATATGGCCTTTGTTTAATGTATTAAACTGTTAAGTTGAGTTAACTTAGCCGGCAACGCTTGTTTCTTCTTAGAGCTAATCCGATACGCTTATAAATCTATGTGAGAAACAGAAAATGGGGATGGGCAACAAAGAATATTGATGAGATTTGACACCACGTGAAGAGCTCAACATAATTAATTATGAAACACAATTAACGAGCATTGTGAAGTCTAGGAGAGAAAAAAAAACACTTAACAACCATAAACTAATGTTTATGCCCATCTGTTGTTGTATTGAGGAACCAATCTGAACGAAACGTTAAAGCAAAATGAGGACAGTCTGTTAATTGTGTGAAATTTATTATGATGAATGAGGCAAGGAAATGTGTACCAAGTTAGCATATGCAACAACTAATAGGACAAAATGAGACACTAGATTGACGGGAACAAGATCAACTTGCATTGTGTTTATGTACTGATGGAGCTTCGATCTGTTCGAGGTCAAGACATAATTACTTTCACTGTGAGATCTCTTGAAACCTTGATCAATGAATCTACTGAATTTTGGCTCCACATACACAGAAAAACAAGCAGCATCTACACTGTCACACACAATTTTATTACGTGTAACTAAAGATCGAGGCTAATTTTCGTTTCAACAGTTTGATATGAACAATTCCAAACAAATACAGCTGAAAGTCTTGCACACACCGAGATGATAACACGCCTCGATACAAGAGCTGACAACGTCGTGTCTTTCTTTTTGTACACCGGAACGTCTCTCTTATCTCTCTCATAGGGTTTCGTTAAACGAAAAGAGTCGTTTTCTTCTTGTCGATTCGGGAAACAAAGTATTCATTTCGAATATAAACAGAACCTTGGCTCATATTCTCTCTATAATACAGTCGTCGCATATTGTATCGATTAAAACTTTAAAGCATATACTATCGCAAAGATTTCATGAGATGAAACCTCCAGTTGTCGAGGACATTGCACCGTCCACGTTTATGAACGTCAGTTTGACCTCGACTGAGTAAAGCGTATCTACGAAAGTGAAAGTCCCCATTTGACACTGAAGATAAATATTTGAAAGCGTTGTGTGGGCGTAAAGAAGTTCATGAATATGTTGTCGTGGAGCATGAATAAAGTAATATTTCTGCAATACTAATAATATACTGAAAGACTTCACAACCTCATCTTCTATCTTCCCTTCCACTGGAGAGACCGGCCATATCCTGGCATAAGAAAGTATAAGAAATGCAGCTAAAAGGATGGGAAGACCCCGTCAGGTCGTAGATGGCACAAGGAGATGTGTAGACCGAGAAGCATGAGATCATGCATATACTGTCCGCAGTATCTACTGTACTGTAGGTTGGTTGACGACCGAATCCACCCAGTAGCTACGTGGTAACCACGTAAGCCAAATCTTCCTTACCGATGACGTCCGAGAAGAAGAGGGAAAAGTCTCAAACCATTAACTATTTCCATAACTTCCTCGAAGCCATCATCTTCAAAAGCAAAATGATCGCGGAAAAGGAGAATAGGAGCGAACTTAAAATAGAAGATTCTCTTTTATCTTAGCCACTAAGTGGAAGTCAGTTAGTGAGCTACGGAGGGCAATTCCTCCACTGAACGTATTTCTCAAGAAGCATTCAATATTCTTGAAGTGCTCATGATCATATTGGATTTCCCAAGAAATAAGAAGTACCGAGAATTCGAACAGGGAAAAAAAGGTTCTTTCTGAATGATACCTTTTTCCTTATTTGATGGCTTTTGAACCTCTAGAAAAAGAAGGATCGTTACAATGTACAGTCCCATCAACGTTATAGATTCGTTCACCAGATTTACTTTCATTTATTTCCATCGATTTCCGAAAAGCTTACAAATCAAGTTCAAATGAACACAAATTCTATGTCCCTGTAGATTCAATTTACTCGTTAAGAGCGATAGGAGATGTAAGAGTCTTCAGAGTTTACTCAGCCTGTATCCGTGTCACTACTCCTTATGAACGAGATACTTCCAACTGAGGAGAAGGAAACTCTTCCGCTATTGGGATCTCAACGAGAATGTTTGAGCTCTATATTTTGTACAAACTGGCACTAAACTACTGATTTTCGACTTGCGCACAACTCTACCAAAGACCAGGGTAGCCTGTTGCCTAGTTTGGTTAAATTTGTCAGGTATCGGTTAAGAGTTAGGTTGACTCTTTGTAGTATGTCAAGTTGAGAGACTGTACAGAGCCCTATATAAAAAACGTATTTACCTATCATTACTCCTGTATTATCATACATGAATGGTAAAGCGAACTTTTTGGATTCCTGGTGATGCACTTGAACGATAGGAAAAGGCCTCGGTGAGCATTAAATTCCGCCTTATCTGTTTTCAGTTGCATTCCCACTATTTAATGTCTGACGACAAACGAACTTAACGAACTTTTCTCCCTGAAGTCCAAAGTCAAGTGCAAATCCGCTGCGTTTCAACTGGAGCACTATTGGCTCCTTGACAGTTTGAATTCTACCAGCCTTGAAACCTGAGCCAGATCTCGGCTCTGCCGTTGTGCATGGAGTCACCTAGAAAAGAAGCAATTTCTTTCATTTTTTCTCTATTAATATACTTATGCAAAGGGCTAAGCCCTCGAGTCTTTACTCCGAAGCCAAACACATGGGGTTTCTTCATGAAATGGGCTGATATTTACATGACTGTTGGGCTGTGATTCAACTTTGGTTTTCGTTAATACAGTAGATGGCAATTCACGTGTAGATCTAAAACTCTGGGTAATGTTAACGCCAATGAGGGTTAGAGCAAGGCCTTCTCGGATACTCAGAGTTCAGTTGGTTTAAACCCGTGTTGTCTACATACATTATGTATCGTCGAACGTTTGGGTTCCAGCCAAGAGAGCTGGATCCCACACTTCTTCATGCAAACCACGGGCTTCTCTTACGCTTCCTTCCCCTTCCTTTGTGCCGGCCTGACTAGCCTACCACTTCAAATCTCTCATAGAGAATGAATCAAACTCAGGCCTCCCTAAATTCGGCGCGCGCCTGAAGCCGCCCAAAAAAAAAACTAAATCAGTAGCTGAATGAAAACAATACTTGGTTTATTTTCGGCCCAAACAAATCCCATACAAATGGTTTTGTGAGTCACTTTTATTGGCCAAACAAATTGAAATATTGTTTAGAACTAAA